ATATGAATTATTACAATAATGCTATCAAATATGTCATTTCTGACCTCTGGTAGGGGTTAAAAAAGCTTTATTTGCTTTAGCCTGATATTTGTTAAGAAGAAATGGAAAGAAAACAGTTTGACCTCAGCCTCTCGAGTTTCACTGGAAATCAGCTGAAGAGCTCCATTAAGTGAGTGTTTTCAGCTGATGGTCGCTAGAAAGGAGACAGAATAGAGGTCAGCAAATTAAATTATAGGTGCAGTAAATACATAACATGTAAATAAATTTATTTATTTAACTATCTGTTAAAGCCAACACTGACATGTGGAACCATGCTGAAAGATCAACAGGGTTTTATGCAGTTAAATGCCAGGTTTGGGGAATATCTTTTTAGATCTTTCTCCAGGTTATGTCTTCTTTCCCACGAACCGGGGAAACAAGCTGCATTTGCTTCTCAGCCTGGTGGGGTAGAGGAGCATTAAAGAAGAAAACCATGCCCTTTGTAGGCATAATTTTTTTTTGGGGGGGGGAGGAGTTGCTTTTTCTGTGGGCCAAACAATTCTCATCCTTTGCTTAAAGGAATGCCCAAGCTACAAGTCAAAGAGAGAAAAAAGGGAAAGAGATGTCAGTCTTTTCTGCCATTCTCTTATGGCTTGATGCTGTAGTTGGCTATAATAAATTATTTCCACCTCAGCAGAGACATTGAAAAAATTGTATTTTCAGTTTGGTTGCCACATAGGCAAACACAGCAAATATATTCCATGCCTGAATACAAGTTGATGTTACTTTCCTTGCATCCTATTATAAGCCTGGCTTGCATATAGAGGCCTACTTTTTAAAAACAAGGTACAAACTATATGCAGTAGTAGAAGGGTAGAGTGCACCTCAGGTCTGGTGTCACTAAGAGACAGGTGGCCGCAGGAGTGAAAAGGATGATGTATCCTTCCTTACCTTCAACCGCCACTAGGGAGCAGGAGAGGAAGCAAGGGAGCGCTGGAGACATCATTGGTCTGTGCAGTGCTTGGGGCACTGGTTAAATGGGCAAAGCGGATACACATTGTAAACCTCCACCCTAGTGAACTGCATCAGCTGTATTCAAAAAGCAACAGAGCTGGAGTTGTGCTTCTTGTTGCATTATGTGTCATTTTGTGCAAATTACTACTACTACTACTACTACTACTACTACTACTACTACTACTACTACTACTACTCATCATCATCATCATCATCATCATCATCATCAACATCAACATCATCATCATCATCCCATTTTTCTGCCAGCATGGTGTTCAAGGTGTCTCTCAGTAAAAAAGGCAAGCGTTTTTCTGCTAGCATGGTTTTCAAGGTGTCTCTCAGTAAAAAAGGCAAGCAAACCAACCGCCCAACAAAAAATAAAGTCAAAATCAAACATAAAAGCTAGTACATAAAATATGAGGAACCCCTACATAAACCAAAGCCTTGAGACACTTTTAACACTAACAGATTCGTTGTGTTTTGAGCTTGTGTTAGCTTACATGCCAGAGTGAATCTGTTAGTGCTGCAAAATCTTGTTTCCTGTGTTGTTGTTGTTGTTGTTACATAAGGTCTTTTCACAAAGCGGGCCATCTTACTTTATTTATTGTATTTATATTCCACTTTTCCTCCAGAGAGTTCAAGGCAGTGTGCATGGCTCTCTCTCCACTTTGACCTCACAATAACCCTGTGAAAAAGGTCAGGCTGAATGACCCCTCAAAACTCATGAGCTCTTAGTCCTGAGGTGCAGAAGAGTGTTTCACCAAATGATCCACAGTCTTAGTTATGATTTCAGGTGCTGGTCTCTTGGATTGGGAGGTGGTCTTGTCTTCTCCTCTGATTACAGACCTAGGCTTCCTACCTCTTCAGGAAGGGATTCTGTAGCCCCTTCTTGAGGATCTCAGATTTTTATCAGCAGTTTGTGCCTCTGTGCCATCTGGTCTCAGAGGTTCTTGAACCTCATCTGATGAATATCATTTCCCCAGGTGTGTGACTGGAAAGCTTTAAGTGTGTTCATTCAGATGACAATTACAAGCACTGCCGCAGACCTTTGTACAAAGCATAGTAAGATCTATTGTACTTCTGAATGGGGCAGAGCTGACGTGCACATCCCCCCACTCAACTTAAAACCATATAAGAAAAGTTGTTTCGTCCCGTGTCTGCTTAAAGGCAACATTTAGTGGAATAGTACAGCTAATAAAAATTGGAAGTTATTTAAATGTTTCAAACAATGTCAAGAATACGCCTGATTTTTGAAAACAGGGTTCTCAGACTCCTATGTAAATTAGCACAGATGGTTAACATTAGAGCTGAAATAGCATACATCATGTCTTGTTCTGATGAACTCTACATGCGCAGCAAGGAGTAGATTTCTGCAAGGCCTGTTGTTCAGTGCAGGTGGTTGCATCAGCTTTCATGTATCTGCGCAGGTGTTTTTCACCTCACCGTTTATCATCTGTAGAGAGAAATCGGTCAGAGTGATTTATTTCTTGCCAAAGGGACATATCAGTTGCTTGCATTTTCCGTTCATCACAGATATCAGTCATAGCCTATGCAGAATATCTTGATTTATTGACGACTCCTAGAGTCAAGAGACCCATGTTTGGTGAAAAGAGTGGAACTGGTGTTAAATATCAACTGCACACTTACAATAGCAAAGCAAGTGTGCTCCCAAGTGAGTTTTTTTTCCTAAGTTTTCAGGTTCAGTGTGAAACCTGAATCTCTGGCATACTATTCTTAAATGAGCCAGCACCCGTCTTTGATGGGTTAGAATGCTTGCTTGTGGAAATATCCAGCAAGTCTAGAGGTGGTAATGTTCTTATATAAATTTCCTATGTCATGATAGGAGTTGTCCATGGGTTTAGGTAACATGGTGAGTCTAGAACAAGCAGAGACTTTTTCTGTATTAGTATTATAGTGGTCTTCGAATTTCTGTTTCTTTTCTGTATACTGTGACACTTGTTCCTTCATACAGTTTCCTTAATACCTGGACTGAGAAGTAAGAGTTTAAATGTGGGCATAATGATAATTTTATCCAGGGCAATATATTTTGCCATCATGTACTTTATTCAGGATTTGTTCACAGCTTAGTTAAATTGTGCTAGATGATTTAGTGAATGGGATGTTTAAAAATAACAGTTATAACAATGTTGGAATAATTAGCTTTTATTTAGCTTAGTTTAAAAGGGAAGGCTGCTTTATTTGGCAGGTAGAAGTACAAGATTTTAAAAACCAGCTGATCTGTGAGTATTTATATCCAAATATTAAAATGATATGGAAGATAAAACATGCTAATAAAAATGTATTTTCTTAGTACTTTGTGGAGTAGTGAGCTACAATGCATCTCAGTTTTGTCAGACTTTTTTTTAAAAAGTACAGTATTGTTACAATCTGCCTAGTAAAACCAGTTTTCCACCAGTTTTAAATAATTAGCCAAGTGGAAATCCCTGGAGAACGAGGTCTAGGTCTAAGTGGTTGTGTGGTGATAGTGGTGGTGGAGAATACATGTAACAAACATAGTCTTTAGTTTAGATCTTTTGGAAGAAAGGTCAAATGCAGCCCAAGAAGCTTGATTTGGAGGAGGCAACCATGGAAAGGATGTCTACAGTTCTGGTCCAGTCTGTTAAGTAAAGAGGAATATGAGGAAGAGAAAAGAGAGATGGTTGAGACTGGAGACTGGTCATGTGATATGTGACTCCCAGTCACATGACCTGGGCACTTGATGCAAATCCACCTGTGAGTAGAGACATCACCTTCCATTGGGCATAGAATGAACCTTAGGTTTCTTTTCTTTTGTATATGAAAAATGCCTAAAGTTTCTAGCCCTTGTAGACAGACTTTTGAACAAAACTTCTGAAAATAGCAGAAACTGAAGAGGCTAATGAACAGGGTTTCGGTGTCTGTGGATGAAGATTTTTAAATATTTTATACTGAAATTTTGAAGTGTGAAATAAGAGAATTACAGATTTTTGTTAGCAAAGGGTTCAAATTTAGTGAATACATGAGTGTATACTTTATATGAATTTGCTAATTGTAATGAAACAGAAAGGGCAAGTGGGTAAGGGGATGAATCTAGGCATATTTTTTTCACTTAGCTAGTGGAGATCCTAGAAATATATGGTCTCATTCTTGCAGTTTTATGTTGTATAGTTTCAGAAGGATTGCATAATAGCATGTCACTGTACATATGTTTACCTCTCAACCTCTTTTAAGCAAATCAGTATTGTGATGGTGAATATGTTTATCTTGAAATCAATGTTATGCACACGCTGTTCCATTCTGTGGTGGATGGACTGAAATATGATATGCCAGCAAATGTATTCATGTGTTTAGTATTTTTCTTGCTAGATGTGGTTCTCATATGAGTGTCACTTAGGAAAAGACTGGAGACATAAGAGAATGTATTCTGGAGGAATGTGTGGATTTGTTAGTACCTAAGTAGAACAGCCGTGATTAAGTGATTATTCCAGGCATTGCACATTGATAGAGTGCCAAGACCTGACAGGCACCATGTTATAAGTGCAGCATAAACAGCTGTTAAGCTAACATCTCTGTTTCTTCATTTGCTCCTGCAGAGAAATCTGTGTTCTTACTGCTATGTGTTATGTTGTACCTCAGAAAAGAGCAGGTGGATACTTGGATACAGAAATACTGAGAATTCGTATATTCCAGCACTTCAATGCCTTAGCATAAAGCCCAGAGAACTCCTCATACAACAAAGGAAAATAACCCTGTTGAACTCAGATATATTGTGAAGTATAGTATCCATTCCACTAAAACGTATTAAGCAAAGTTTACTTTGCTAATATGTTTATGATCATATTAATCTAATCTTTTCCCAGCAGTTAAATTGCTAAGATAAGATTGGTGTCTGTTACTACTGCTATGTTGTTATTTGGAATCCGTAACAAGGCTGTTTGCATATATTCACAGATGCTTCTAGAAGGGGGGAAAATGATCTCTTCTGTTTTTGTTAGTTACAAATAATTGATGTATTTTTTTATTTGTAGGTATAACACCTTACCAAGCAGAAGAACACTTAAAAATTCAAGATTAGTGAGTAAAAAGGATGATGTTCATGTCTGCATCATGTGCTTGCGTGCCATCATGAACTATCAGGTATCTTAATTCTGATTATTTGTCTGGATAACTGCCTCAAGGGAAAGTTTTCTGAAACACTCTCATAACAGAGTTCTTTCAGCTGAGACGATAATTTTATATGCTTTATATTAAAATGAAGAGCAATGGGTTATGTTATTTATTATCAAATATTATTAAAAGCACCAGAAGAAAATTGCTTGGACAGAAGCAAAATAGTGGCTTTTCCATTAATTCCCAGGACTGATATTTATTAAAGAGTTGTTCGTCATGGCTAGAGTAAACCCATTGAATCAACTGGTTTAACGTAAGTGTTAGTTTAATGGGTTTGCTCTAGTTGGATTTAGGCCACTGAAACTACCGCTGAACAACTGCAGCAGGGTAACCCCAATGAGGATGTGATCTTAATGGCATAAGGGAGTTTTAAACAGTTCATTATAAATTCCTGTTACATTCTCTCTCTCTCTCTCTCTCAAGAAAATATCTGTTCAGGACATCATGTCGAAAATTTAAAAATGGCAATCTGTAATTTAAAGTATAATGAAAATGCTCTTTGAGTGAGAAACAGAGAAAACAAGGAATCACTTTTAGTTACATCTGGTTATAGGGATTTCGTAAACTGACAGAATTTCACAGCTAGTGGAGCACTAAGGGTGGAAGACATTCTGTTTTAGAGCACTGAAGGTGTTACTTGAAGATGGGTGGAGAAGCACAGTTTGAAAAGTGGGCTTTTGAAAAATACTAGGGTTTCCTATTGTATGGAAAGGCTTCCTGGGTAGAGGATAGTGCCGTGTTAACTTTTTATTCTTCATATGTGCTGAGCAAGAAGGGGGACGGGCTTGGGCTAGCTTGCTTACTCTCTTCATATTTAGGTAAACACTACCTGAAAGTCTGTAAAGGGTCAGGATTACCTGTAATTTCAGCTTGCCTAGTAGCAGATCTAGTTTTGCTGTCCTATAAAGTGTGAAGCTGCTCAGATTCAGCCTTAAAAAAAACTGTACATGATAAAAATGCATTCCAGATGCTGAACATTATTTCCAATTTCTATTTTAGTATGGATTCAATATGGTCATGTCACACCCCCATGCTGTTAATGAAATTGCACTAAGTCTGAACAACAAGAATCCCAGGTAAAAAGGCTTTTTTTGTGTTGGACCTTTTTTGTGTTGAAATGATTATTTTTTTTCATCATCATAGTTTCTGTGGAGGCAACTCTCCATTTAAATATACTCAGTCCCTGATAATTGCCTTTTCTGCTTGATTTTCTTTCATTTAAACTGGTGATCAATTAAGTAGATGTAGGTAGGTCTAGAAATAATTTTATACAGTACTGCTTAAATTGGGTACACATCAATTAAAAAGGAAACCGTGGGGAAGCTTTCAAATGATTAGGACTTCAAGGGAGTATCAAGCATTTGCCACATTTTGCTTGAAGCTATTGTTGGGGTCAGGCTCTTGAAACAGCAGATAGACATTAAAAATATTATTTTCAGATGTCATTGCAGTCCTCGTGCAAATGCTGAGTCATCGCATTGTTCTAATTGATTTCTCTCTCCCTTTCTTTCTACAGAACAAAGGCGCTGGTCTTGGAACTGTTGGCAGCGGTTTGTCTCGTCAGAGGAGGACACGAAATCATTTTGTCTGCCTTTGATAATTTCAAAGAGGTAGGCTATTCTGTTTCAGGAGAGAGCAATTTAGGGTTATACACCTATTTTGGATCGGGTTCTACTGAAGCATGGGGACTATTCTTTATTTCATGAGCCTAAAAATCACCTAAACTGTCCAGGGGTACACTAAGACATGTTGCTGCTTGTGGTTGAAAGTTAATGGCATCTTTCGTTCACCCAAGCCAAGGTGTGCAGTCCTCAAAGCTAGCAAAGTCATTTTATTTATTTATTTATTTATTTACAGTATTTTTTAGCCGCACCATTACCAGTGGCTTCTGGGCGGCATACAGCATTAAAACTTAAAAACATTAAAAACATTTTAAAAGACAATATAAAATGTCATATATTAAAACAATTTTTAAAACATTAAAAATTAATAAGTCCTGCTGCTCATGTGGCCAGCTAGGGAATACTGTTTAATTAAAATGCTGGCTGAACAGAAAAGTCTTTGCCTAGCGCCGAAAGGCCAAGAGTGTCGGAGCCAGGTGGATCTCTACAGGGAGGGCATTCCAAAGTTGGGGGGGCAACAGCCAAGAAGGCCCGATTTCGACATGCCATCCCCCTCACCTCTTTCAGGGATGGCACCTTCAGAAGGGCCTCCTGGCCTGGTCTTAGAGGACGCACAGGCTCATACGGAAGAAGGCGGTCCTTTTGGTGCAAGACAGAAAATTGCACACCCACCTCTCCCAATTTTTCACAGTTTTTTAAAAGAGTACAAGAACAAGAACAAGAACAAGAACAAGAACAAGAACAAGAACAAGTACAAGAACAAGAACAACAACAACAACAACAACAACAAATTAACAGGTGATTTGCTCTCCTGTTATGACATCAGCATCTGCTACCTGGAGCAAAAGGACCTATGTTGATCTCACCAGCAAATTATTTCAAAGGCTTGATGCTTTTTTCCTAACTTGCAGTGTATTTTCATGAACCAGTCCTGCAAATAGCTTCATTATATGCAACGTTATTTACACAAGATATACACCAAGGCTAGGCAGCGGGAGATAAGGAATATCTGCAGTTCTGATTGCCAAGCTTTCTGTGTGCACATAAGAATAATGATACACCTGTTTTTAGTGATAAAAGCCCAGGGGCCATTAAAATAAGTAGGGGTGGTGAGTTGTTTTGTTGCTATTATTGTTGGTTTTGCTTGCCACATCGTACCTGATTTGCTGTCTGTATTCAACAGTTGTTTTATTTTAACTAGAATAACTTAAGAACACAGGCAGATGAACATTCCATGAACAATACATTTATTCTTCTTGTCTGTAACATACTTAAGACTATTGGTTCTTGAGGGAATGCATTGAGGTTTCCCAACTCTTCTAGATCCCATAGTCCATTGCTGCCAGAGGTGTGGAAGAGCCTATCTAAGTGATCCACAAATGTACTCTGTTTATTCTTTTATTTTGGAATCATCCCAACCGGGTCTGGGAGAACAGTTGAGAGATACTTACTCCTCCAAGCATAATGGATAGGGAGAACATTACTTGGAAGTAAAAAAAGGTGATGTGAATCTCACTGCTACTGGCAAGAAGAAGAGCAGAGTCAGCAATGTTTCTGGGTGGACTTTGATACCAGATGAAGGGGTACTTTGCCATTTTCAGGTAGGATTGAGCAAAGAAACAGTCTACCCCGGAACAGCAGTGGAGAACCTGTCCCTGTTCTGAGGCTGCTGGACTACGCCTCCCATCAGTTGGTACAGCACAGCCAGTCTGAACCCAAACAGCATTTGGAGCACCATGAGTTTTGGTCCAACAGCAATGGGAGAACCACAGGTTTCCTACCTCCTAATTGTCACAGATTTCATGCAGCAGAAGAGGAAAAATCCTTGTAAGGAAAAATACTCAGCTACAATATCTACAGCAGATTAGAAGCAAATTTGTACTTGTTGCCTTATAAAAAGTTGGCCTAGAGGAAGTCTAAAATAAGTTTGTTGTCTTCAAAAAGAACCAGTCTTATCCTGTTCTTAGGCAAGCCTATTTATCTTAACCATTCCAGCCCTAATACAATACATTCATTACAGTCCCAGTACTGTTTGGCCACTGTGTGTCAAAGAAAGGCCACTCTTCATTTTGTTAAAATGATATGTAAAGGCTTGTTAGCTTGTATTTATGAGGTACTAAATGAAGCAGGAAGTCAGGCAGATGTTGCCAGTTGGTTCCAGTAGTTTATCCTAGTTTAATCTTGCCTCTAAAATGTATTGGTTCATTTGTTTAACATGAGAAGGACCACCTCTTTCTGGCCATTTCCTTTCATTTTTCTCCATTTGTGTTTTTTGGCACCAGTCCAAAAAAGGCTCGAAGAACCTGAAAAAAATACCCCCCCCCAAAAAAGAGGCAAGGCAACAGAGAATTAATGTACTTCAAAAGCACGCAACAGTACAACCAGCAAGAACCACTGCCAAACAAAATAGTCCCTCAAACCTCCCACCAAAGTATATGACTTTGACAGAATAAATACATAGTAACCAAATAACATTAAAGAAAAAAATTAATCAAAAGGGTAAAGCAACTCTACCTTCACACTTTGAGGGGGGGGTAGCAAAATAAAACATACAAAATAGCCCCTTCTCCCAAAAGTATGTGAGGAAATAAAGACAAAAAATACAATCAAAACATCTCCTAAACCAAAACAACTAGAATATGCGGATCTTTTTTAGCCCCCTACCACTTGCCCTTTTTTGTTTCCTTTGAGTTCAGAATGGCAGCAGGCATACAGCAAAAATATTCCAAAAAAGGAAGGACCAAAGAGTTGAAAAGAAGTCCGTGGGGAGGAATCCAAAAAATAATCCCAAGAAAGCACACGGGTACTTTGTTTTCCAGAAATCAAGGGCAAAAAGAAAGGATTGTAGAAATGCAGGAAGGTACTAGCTAGGCAGCATAATATGGAGGGCACCAGGAGAACTTGCATATCCACAAGGAATGAGTGAAACAAAGAAAAATCATTTTCAACTAGGCTCCTACCAATCTAGGCCCTTTTATAGCTTGAAAATTCACACATACACCCAACATTTTGATTGGTTCCTGATGGTAGCCCTTTTAGTGTTGTCGAAGGTAGGGTGAATTAACAGACAAGTGATGAAAGAAAGATTAAACGAAAGTGGGAAAAATAACTAAAAATGAAATTCTTGGTCCCTCTTTTTAGTTAACACAAAGTATTTGCGTGTAAAGAGGCTGTGTCTCAGGAATCAATAGAAAAACACAGAAAGGGAAAAAGGACCCCTTTATGGGTTTTTTAAAAAAGTTGTTCATTAAAACATTTAGTTTTTAAGCACTTTTTCAGGCATATAAAGTCGGAGAGGTGGATTATGAGCAGAAACGTGGATCCTCATGCAGCTTAAGGATTCAAGGGCCTGTGAGGTGCTTTTTCTTCTAAACAAAGATGCTAGAATTAAGCATACTTTTTAAAAAACAAGCATGTTTAACATAACATGTTGTTTTGGCCCTAGTTGAACTGATAGGTTAAAAGGGCCACTTAAAAGAATATTCTGTTGAAATTCCTAGAGGTTACCACCAAGTAAATACAGTATAGTAATATGACATCAGAACCACGAGCCTGTGATGAAAAGTCTGTGAGGGATTTTTAAAAAATATAGTATGCTTGAGGATCAGTGATATGGCAACGGAACTCTGGCTGTTTATTATTTTTTATTATTATTATTTTTCCCTCCAATGGAGTAAGTGCTCTTTGTTTAACCCTGAATTCTTACAGAAATTAATAGAGATCCAAACTTATATAGAAGAAAATTTATTGCAAACAAGAAGCCAGCTTTATTCTTATTGGTCATTGCAACTATTTAATTTTATAAGGCACAGCAGGGCAGGATGTGTTAGAAAACATAAGCCAATCATCTTTGCCTGGAGCTCTAATCTGCAAATGATGTAGCCCTCTTGTTAAAAAAAAGAATATTAAAAGTATTTTCAGCCTAGTAAGCATTAACAACTCTTTACTTAACCAGAATCTTGCAAGAAAATTGGTCTTTTGTTCCTTCAGTCATCTGTAAGCACGTAATGTCAGGCTGTAAGAAATACCCTCCTCAGAATAATTCTGTCCTAGAGTGAAATTGGTTGATCACACTAGACCATTGTGTTAAGAAGAAAAAGCATTCATTGTGCCCCTCAGGATAGTGGAACAAAGAGAGAAAGAAAACATTTAGTAGAGTGTCCCATTAATATTTAAACGTGCAAGCATATTTAAAATGAAAACATATTCATAGCTGTTCTCTGACTTTCTTTTGTATACTGAGAGTTTGGTTCTCCCCCACCCCCGTGAAATATATTCTCGATCATATTCAATATATTCTCCATCATATTCTTGCATTAGGACTGAACATTCTAGAACTGTGAAGTTCAGTTGCAGGCCTGGTTTGCCTGTTGCAGTTGCTACTGTACCAATTTCCACACAGGAAACGTGCCAGATGTGGGCCATAACTTGTAGAGTAGCTTGCCGTGGCAGTTGCCCTGATTACAAGGGAGAATTTCCGTGTCACCTTCAGACAATGAGTGGGACAAATGAGAGTGTTGTCCACCTGATTGTTCTTGTCCCTTTGGGTGAAAATGTGTGGTGAAAATGTGGAAGGATACCTGCCAGTTCAAGCCATGGGACTGGTGTCTCTACAGCAAAGCTGCTTGAATTGAGAGAGAAGGGTGTGAGTGTACTTGTGTTCATGTTCAGATTTTTTTTGGGCAGCACCAAGATGATATGTATCCATGTGATTTTTGGCAACACCAGCCTGCAGCCTGAACTAGCTACCATTTATTTTATTATCTAGTCCAATATATGCGAGAAGATAAGGTGTATGTTAAGTACTTCCACTTGGAAGCCTAATGGAAGGAAGACAGTTTTATTTTCTGAGAAATTTGTCTTCTGACTGAATTGTAAAGATCAGGTAGAGAGCGTTTGACAAATATGTTTAAAACAGATGCACCTGTTGCTCATTTCTACCCTTTCTAAGATTCTCTTTCACTGATCTATTTCTTTTCCCTAAACTGAACATATATTCCTAAAGCCCATACACACGTGCCAGGGAGACTCTGTAGGGCTTAGTATGGTGCTGAAAATTTTAGGTGGAAATTGCCACTAGTTGACAAGTTGCTGCTTGCGCCTCTCTTTGTACTCATGCATTTGGTGTGCAGTAAAATATACAAATAGAGACGTGGTGCTGCTGTGGGCTAAATCGCAGAAGCCTCTGTGCTGCAGGGTCAGAAGACCAGCAGTCGTAAGATTGAATCCATGTGACGGAGTGAGCTTCCATCGCTTTGTCCCAGCTCCTCGCCAACCTAGCAGTTTGAAAGCATGCAAATGCCAGTAGATAAATAGGTACCACCTCGGTGGGAAGGTAAACAGCGTTCCGTGTATAGCCGCGCTGGCCACGTGACAACGGAAGCTGTCTTCAGACAAATGCTGGCTCTATGGCTTGGAAACGGGGATGAGCACCGCCCCCTAGAGTCAAACACGACTGACTAAATGTCAGGGGGAACCTTTACCTTTTAAAATACACAAATGGCCACTTTATGAGCAATTTGCCATTGTGGTTTATGCTATTGTATTGGTGCAGGTGTAACTAACCCTCAGCATTCTGACCATTAAATAGAACTAAAAGAAGTAGTTGTGTGATCCATCCACAGAACCAAGTTTTATTTGGTAATCCCTTTATTGGATCACTAAAAAAATTTATAAGCAAGGCAAGTGTTTGCATTCTCCAGAACTCTTCTTCAAGCAAAAGTGGCACAATGTTTTGGGTTTCTTCATGCAAAAGTGGCATAAAAATCTTGGGGTTAGGGTTTCAAGAGGAATGGGTAGCATGCCTGATAGAGTGTTTGGACTATATGCCTTAACCCCAAATTGTACACTATCTTTGGTTGATGAAGAGTTCAAAAGTTTGTTTTTTAAAACCTTTTTTAGTGATCCAGTAAAGGAATTACCCAACCCAGAGCATGCTTACTTCTCAACAAATGTGGACAGATTAAATTGTCATGTTGTTGTCATGTAATTTTACTGACTGCATTCCAACTTGGCTTAAGCCTATGTTGGACTAAGCAATTCTGGAGGGTCTGACAACTGTGCCCACCTTATTTTCCTCTACCACCACCCAGAGCTCCATAAACCTAGAAGTAATTGGAAGATCCCTTCCAGTTTTGTTCTCTTTTTCAAACCTGTTTTTGAATCCCCAAAAGGTGCAGGATCCCAAAATAACATTGGAATGGAGACTCACACTGTGTACAGGATTCTGGGGAGGGACTGGGATTCTCCATTTTTCTGCTGAAGAAAATAATTTTGGCTTCAGTGGGTCCGGTGCTGTTTGTATGAACAAGCCTGTTGCCCAAGTGGGTATTTACTTTGCTCCTCATGTTGTATATATCTCAGGAGGCAAAGCAGAAGGTCTTCCATTAAGATTTGTCTGAACTGGAAAATAATTGTTACATTTTTTGGAACAAGCCAGAATGTTAACACCATTGCAGGCCACTTGCCAAGCTGGGATGTGATCATCTCCTCCTCCATGTGGTCACTAAGCTGAGTGGCTTTTCTACCGTTATCCTCGTAAAACTTTCTAAAAGCTTGTTTTTTAAAAAGTCTGGATAATAGATTAAGAATGCTACATTCAGTTAATAGTAAAGGCTGAGAGAAGAATGTACGTGAGACAGGTTAGTTGTGAATTTATGGTTCTTAACCACTGCTTTAATTCATTTCCTCTGATTTCATTGCATGCATTGGTTTTTGTCATGGTTCTAGTTTTTATGGTTCCTGACAAAATCAGTGAACCATAAATAACTTGTAATTATGACAGACATTTTCCATGATTCAGTTGGATGCATTCACAAGAAGGCCCCTTGATCTCAAGTCTTGTCGCAATTAACTTAGGTTTTAATGATCTTTCTGTGTGCATATGTGGCATAATCAGCCATCCAGTACGGATACATTTCTTAAAAACCTGGAAAGACTCTTTCTGTAGAAGATAATAGCTTTCTTAGAAGATAATGTGAAAGCTTACCAGAACCAAACTAATTCCAAATAGTTTCACTGTTCTGAAGCGTTTTACTATTTCTCTGTCATTTTTAGCACCTGCCTACTGGCCCATCTCTCTTGTGAAAGAAGCCCTAATGGATGACTTCTTTTCCTTAGGAAAAACGTGGCTTGAATACCTGTTATGTTGAATTCTAGACTGTTCTTCTGAGTTATTTTAAAATATTGACTGTATTACGTGATATATTGACACAGGCAAGTGCCAAATGAGTTTAGTTGGAACCTTAAAATAAAGCACACTTTTTTGGAATCGGAGCTGAAATCAGATTTTAGATTAATTTATTAGTCACAATTTACTTACAACCATGACACAAATTAAATAGGACATTGAACTAAAGAAGTTAAAGGAGCATGTCCTTTAGCATAAACCCAAGGAGTCTGGACTGGCATCTTTCCCCATCTCCTGCTCCAGAGTAGGAATGTAAGTCATTGCTTGTCTCATTCTTGTGTGTGAGAACAAGAAACCACAAAGTTTTGTGAGATGGCAAGATATTTTCTCTCATTATTGGTGAAAGTTCTTATGTTTGCAAGAACAATTTTCTCTCTCTCTACAAATGTGTGAATTGCATAGCAGAGTAAAAATGCAAAAGCTGGTGCCCTGTTGCAGACATTTTGGAAAAAAAAATTAGATGCATCTTATGAGGTGTTTATGTCCTTTAAAAATCCATTAGCCCATCCTTGTATGCTCTCCGTGTTTTCCATAGGGGTGTTTTCCTTCAGAAAGAGAAAATACACTAGTTTTCCATGAAGACAGAACTTGACGAAACCTTGACTAGAAAAAAAAATCCTTGTCTTGTTCTTGTAGTGGAGGCAAGAAGGCTTGTGAGGGTCAGCGATTTCTCAACAGACTCTCTGGTCAGCTTCAGACACAGACGGTGTTTTGTCAAAAACAAGTAGTTTTAAAGATTTCTTCACACCCTTACTGTGGAGTAGGAAAGGTGGTCAGCAGCTGAATGTTACTGTCTGAAGGTGCCTTCAGTTAGCAGCCACTGAACCTGCATGCTTCTCCTCACTTCTATTTTTAACTAACCACAGTTACTCATTTCATCTGCACTATGGTTCATTTTAACTGTGATAGGAGAACAAGCCATGATACCTCACCACTTTTAACACTTATCTAGATAGTGTTACCTACTTTTATCCATAGATACCCACTTTTACACACTGTCCATAACAACCATTAACTTGTACAAGTTCGGCCACACAGTCAAATATGGAAAGCTAAAGCTTCTGATCTTGCAGAAGAGGGACAAGGGAGTGTGTGCCAGTCTGGAAGTTCATGTATGTAACGTTAAACCATATAGTTATGAACTTGTGCGTTAATTTACCGGCTAAAAGTTCAGTAATTTATATCTGCTTCCACACTCTTCAGTTCTCTCTTCTTTAAATGTACTCTTATGTGCAAACAGCAGGAACACAATTAAAACTCAACAACAATATACACACTCAAGAAATCTGACTCAGGTTAAATTTGCTTTAACTTAGTATTGGATAGTGGGTGACAAGTATTCAAGGGTAACACTTTAAATTTAGGATGTCTAGAATCATTGATGTATACAGGTTAATGAGTCCAGACGTATGGCTCATTTGAGGACGATAGTGAACTATCTGCTGATTGATAACAAAGAGCACTTATTCTCTGCCTTCAAACAATCTTTTCCTTGCCTCCTTTTTGCTATTTTCCCTTCCTGCCCTACCCCACCCTTTATTATTGTATGCTTCTGCTTTAATCATGCTGCTGTTAGATTTTTCTTTTTCCAACTTCTACTCCCAAATCTTATTTCAGGCAAACATTAACATTTTTCGTTCTAAAGTAAGAGGAAAGCACTTTCCCTGTGTTGGCCTAATCATGGGTGGGAATGAAATTGTAACATTGTGTGTGTCGCTTCACCATTTTCATATGGCAGCTCCTTATATGTTGGATAGTCATGTCTGCCATCCTGTTGTGTCCCTCTTTGACCTTCTGTCTGTACAAATAAATGTGCGTTTCCAGCTGGGAATATTGTTGACCCTGAAGTGCCACTGTTGACAATGAAAAGTTTTGTCTATTCTGCCAACACATAGGCTTGTTGCTGTTAGTCCAGTATGATTCACAATTACTTCACAAAATAGCTGGCTAGAAAGCTGTGCATGTATTAAAGCCTCACGTTTTCTGTATTAGCAAAACGTGCGATCTTCCATGCTGTTCATAGACTACTCAAACCAGGCTGAAACCATGTTCGGCTTGTTTCCACTAACTCTTGTTTCTTGATTTCAAGCAATAGAATAAGCCACAGTTTTAACAAATGGAAGCAGTTGCTTCTGAGCTCCTCATGACCTTAATGGGAGGGGGAAGCATATGAGCTTTGTTCTTAGAACCTTAATGTGTAAAGCAGCTTCTGTATGTCAGAATATTGATTTTTTCCCCCCAGTACAAACTACCCATAAATTTTGTATGTTTGTTACAGAAAGATGTTTTTAGTACTCCCTCTAGTGTACAGATGCATAACAGAGTGTATGAATTTCCTTCCCAGGTTTGTGGGGAAAAGCAGCGGTTTGAGAAGCTGATGGAACATTTTCGAAACGAAGATAACAATATAGATTTTATGGTAAGTGATATTAGATTAGCATTTTTATGCATTACTTGTGATCATTTTTATTATTTCAAGTACTGTATATATTTCATTTCTTCTTCGTGGTCTCTGTGAATGCACACAAATGGGTTAAACTGCGACTCTTCGGAATATTCTAGAGCTTAAATAACTGACCAATAGAATGTTTTCCCGTGGTGCACATGCCCCACCTCCCCGTGGTACCTCAGTTCCTTTTTGCCACTGCTGCAGTTGGACTCCTTCGCGACACCTAGAGCTGTTTTCAATTCGTTTACATTTTCTGGTTTTGATCTCAGCCTGTTTTCTTGATTACGGTTTTTCTTATCTGGAGTACAGTGGAACCTCTACTTATGAACTTAATCCATCCCAGAAGATGTTCATTAGTTGAAACGTTCGTAAGTAGAAGCTCCATTTCCCATAGGAATGCATTGAAAACTGATTAATCCGTTCCAGCCGAAGGGGGAAAAAAATGAAACAAAAAAAAACCCCACAAACAAAAAGAAAATAAACACAGCAAGTCCCACGCTGGGACTGCCAAAAAAAAAAAAAGCCCAAACCTACCCTCCAAAACCCACCAAGAACAACTTTTTTTAAAAAAGTTCCGCCCATATGCCAGGGTTTCTGCTCATCACATGCAACATATTTTAGGCCTTACGGATTCCACCACGTCTGCTCTTCCTCATGCTCCATTGAAGATGCGCTCTCTGCAGGTGTGCTACATGTCTCTATTCAATCTGTTATTAGATAACCTTGCCAAACGTCTACGTGTGATTCCAGAGTTATCACGCCAACTGACGTGGTGGACTTTCATGCTGCATCTTCTAATTGGTTGACTCTTCAGGCCCCTTCAACTGACAGTACAGATCACGACAGACGCCATCATGACAGTTTGGGGCGGGCATTGTGGCATTCACATGATCCACACCCTGTGGTCCAGCTCAGAGAAGCTGCTAGATATCAGTCTTCTAGAAATGTTGGCAGTAATTAAGGCTCTTTGCGCTTTCTATCCTCTAGTGGTCAATTGCGGAGTGCAAATGGCTACGGACAACATGACCACTCTGTATTATATAAACAAGCAGGGAGGCACTCATTCATTGTCCCTTCTGTACTTAGTGATCCACCTGTGGGAGTGGTGCTACGATCATCACATATTTCCGATCACCATCCATGTGTCAACAGAGGACAATGATGTGGCTGATTGCCTGAGCCGCCTGACCACTCAAACTCACAAATGGTTCTTGACAACTCATATTCGCCCATATCTGCAGCAGGTGGAGCACACAGGCCATCAACATCTTTGCGACTCAGATCAACGCAAAGAGCAAAAAAGTTTTGCTTTCAAGCAGGGAGAGCCAACGGTTCTTTGGGCGATCATGGTGACATGGGATGCTGTCCTTCTCTATCTTTTTCCTCCCATCCCACTTATTCAATGGACAGTTGTCAGGATCCACCAGTTGCGAGCCAGTGCCATCCTGGTAGCTCCGTGGTGGCCTCGACCACCAGTTGCGAGCCAATGCCATCCTGGTAGCTCCGTGGTGGCCTCGTCACCCATGGTTTACTACCCTCAAGACTATCGTGTCCAATTTCCTGAGACTGCCTCCCCAACCATTCCTCCTAACTCAGTATGGAGACAAGATCTGTCATCCCGACATCAAGTCGCTCCATCTCATGGTGTGGAGGATTCTTCCAGTATAAAGGAGGTGGTGGACACGGCTAGGAGGCCTTCAGCCAAGTTGCTGTATTCTTATGTTTTTACAAAGTTTGCTGCGTCCGGAGGTTTTGTGGCTGTTCCAGCTTTGTTTGGTACTCTTCTTGCCTTCCTGTGTTATTTGTTTGATCTAGGGCTAGCACATTCTATATTTCATTCTATATTTCAGCCATTATTTCTTATCAGCCTTTGGGTTCAGACACTTTCCGCTTATTCTCACACCCAACTGTGAAGAGATTCCTTCAAGGTTTGAATAACATTTGTCCACCATTACAGCCTCCAATCCCTCAATAGTCTCTTCAGACTATTTTGAGAGCTCTTACACACTCACCATTCGAACCTATGGCTTCTACTCCTCTAAAACTTCTTTCTCTAAAGACTTTGTTTCTGGTGGCTATTACGTCTGCATGGAGGGCAAGGGAGTTGGCTGCACTGAAGGCTAATGCACCTTATATACAATCTCACTCTGATAAGATCGTCTTATATCCTGATGTCTCATTCCTCCCTAAGGTGATTTCGAGTTTTCATGTTAATCAGCTTTTGAGCCTCCCAACGCTGTTTCCTAACCCTTCTTCCAATGTTGAGTGCATGCTCCATTCCCTTGATATTCGGCGGGCTTTGACCTTTTATGTTTCTAGAACTAAGGACTTCCGCAAATCTCCCAGTCTGTTTGTTTGCTTCCACGGTCCTTGGAAAGGTCATCTGGTCTCTTCTCAGACAGTTTCCAGATGGATAGTTTCTGCCATCGCTTTAGCCTATGAGCTGGTTGGCAAGCCCCACCAGATGTATTGAAGGCACATTCCACTAGAGCTGTGGCTACCTCTACTGCCTGGCTACGTGGCATTGAAGTCTCTGATATTGGTCGATCAGCTACGTGGTCTGCACCATCGACCTTTGTTACATGTTACAGGCTGGATGTCAGAGCCAAAAAGGGAAGCAAGTTTTGGAAGGGCTGTGCTGACTTCAATTTTACTGTGACGGCCCTCCTTCCTGTAAGTGAGCTTGTTAGTCACCAATTTGTGGGCATTCACAGAGACCCCGAAGAAGAAAGAGAGGTTACTTACCTGTAACCATGGTTCTTCGAGTGGTACTCTGAATCCACACATCCCGCCCAACCTCCCTGCTGTCCATCATGGGTTGTCTACAGCTTTCTAATTATCAGAGTTATGACAGCGGCAGGCATTCAGAACTGAGGTACCACGGGCAGACAGGGCATGTGCACCACGGGGAAACTTTCTATTGGTCAGTTATTTAAGCTCTAGAATATTCCGAAGAGTCCTGCGCAGGTGCAGTTTAACCCATTCGTTTGGATTCACAGAGTATCATTCGAAGAACCATGGTCAAGGGTAAGGAACCTCTCCTTATTGATAGAATAAGGGATTGTTCCCTCCATCTGCTATCTTCAATGCTATATATTTCATACTAAGGCCTCTCATGGGTAAGGAACCTCTCCTTATTGATAGATTAAGGGATTGTTCCCTCCATCTGCTATCTCCAATGCTATATATTTCATACTAAGGCCTCTGGTTCTCAGAAGTTACTTTTGTCAGGAGAACAGGAAGAACCATTCTAGTTTGGGCTCCAGCCAGCAGTATTAATTCGCCTCAGGGCTGTGAGAAAGAAGGTCCGAAATGAGGGGAGGTCACTTGGAAAATGTAAAAAAAACCAAATAAATGAAGAATTGGAATTCTTCAGTTGTGCCCCCTGTCACACCAAGAGAGATACTGCAGTGAAGACTCTGTTCATGACCTGAGTTCAATCTTGGGCTCAGGAAGCTGTCTGAAGGTTGGCTTCGCATTCAATATTTCTGAGGTCAGTAAGTTGAGTATCCAGCTCGCTGAGGGGTTGGCGGGCAAGCTGTAGCCTGAGTAATTAAATTGTCAACCACCCAGAGAGAGCTTTAAGCACTTTTGGGCAGGGTATAAGCAGCACACTTTGCTTTTTGTTCTCCCTAGGCTCACATTAAATAGTCATCTTCTATTACATCTAGTTAGTGCTTTAGAAGTATTTCATGGTATAGTAGATTTCAGAATATATTCTCTGCCCTTGCACAACTTCGGTTAAACCAAAGCCTATAGCTTTAGTATTTTTGTCCAGTCAACTCACCCGTAAACAAGAGCAGTTGCTACAAGTAGGGAAGACTCCCCAGGTTGCAATTCCATACTTGCCCTCATACTCTGAGAAGGAAAGCTTTAAATCAGTAGGTTGGTCCTGCAGTCAGAGGGCGAGTAGCTTGCTTTAGGGTTGGACCTCTTTTTCCTTTTCCACCCCCTAGAAATAGCTTAGTCTCTTGAATACAGTAGAAGAGAAGAGGTCCAGCTTCAGTGGCTCCCAATATGTTCTGCAAAGTTTGTCACACGTCCAGGATGTCGCTTTAGCTGAAATTCTTGAACCTCTGGATAACAGAAGCAACTTCATGTTATGAAAAGTGAATATCTTGCAGCCTGCATAGCAGACCTGTGAGAGATTTCTTTAAAATTCCATGTCTTCTCTAAAACTCCACAATTTCTCTGCCACATAACTTTCTGCTAGATTTCCTTTAAAACACCACTCTGTCTTTTGCTGTATTTCATAGTAGAAAAGCTACTCCAGCTTGTATCAGTCTGGCGGCTGCAGTTTCAAAAGCTACTTTTTTCCTAGAAAAACAGTCTCAAAAATCAATTTAAAAAAAAAGCCAGGTCTGGGGCTGCTCGGTTTCAAGCACGTTATGCTGTTGACTCAAACAAAGTGGAATAGATATCTGAAATTTACAGCATGCTGACACCGCATGATTCAAAACACTGACAGGGAAGTGAGATTGTGACTGTTCCCTTTCCTCTTCTATAGACAGATGTAGCAGGTCCATATTTAGCAGTTTGCTCATGCCTAATTATTCTCTGATCCTACTTCTCGTTTGAGTAAGAAATTATACTCTGAATACAGAATAAACAGACAGCATGGATCACTATACTTAAACCTGTATGTTCCAGTATGAAATGAAGCATCGCCACTTTGAGAACAAGACAACGTACGCACAAAATCATCAGTGCCCTGTCATCAGAGTTTTTCCTCCAGTCACGTTCTCGGTTCACAAACTTATTTTCACTTCCATGTGTCCATAGCCCTGTGTTCACTTCCACTTGGCATCTCCGGCTGATGCACCTGACCAAACACCCCTTCCCAAATTGGCCCTACCACATAACTCCCATTATCCCGGATGGTTATCCCAGCTGATGGGAGCTGTAGTCCCAAATATCCCAAGCATATCAGATTGGGGGAAACCCAGATTAAACAAACCAGGAATGTCTGAATGATGGAGGATACACAGAGCGGGGCAATTTGGGAGGGCTGGTTAAATTAGCAGCGCCAGCAGGAGATGCCCATATAGGTTTGTGGTTGGAGATCCTGGCTTTCTGCTAGCAAAGAAGACAGGGTATGCCAAAAGCAACCAACCCATGCTTTATGATCCTGAATTGCAAAAGGAAAGGAAAGCCAGGATCCCTGGTTCAGAGGGCACCTCCTTTTTTTTCAGTCCATCACAGTAGGCTGGAGGAGCTAAGTGGGAGTGTGCATGAGCATGCAGCTCATTCACAATAACTTGGGATTCTCTAGACTCCTAGCTTCCAATTTTGTGTCAACTGCCTGGGCTGTTATCTGGAATATTGATGTGTTAAGCTAACCAGTAGATGTTTGTTTTGATTAATGTCAGCAAGTTCATCTGATGAACAAAGGACTTGATTTGACCGTTGAAAAACAGAGACAAATTGGGTACACAATGGAGATAAGCAAGGCAGAAGCTCCACAGGTGCAGTTCCAAGAATAACACGGGGTGAGGAGAAGTCATTAGAAGAAGCAGCAACATATGAGTAAAATGCTTGCATACAGATGCACTCCCACCTCAACATAATTGATTCAAAAAAAGAGAGTTGGTTCGGTTGCTCTCGGTAGAACTTGGTCACTGATTTATAGGAATTTCCCCCTTGCCTTCTTTTCTAGGGATTTTTGGAAGGCTGGAAACAATGAGATCTGATTGCTTAAATTAGTCTCAGCTAGACTTCATTCTGTATGCTTTAGGATAGCATGAAGTGTTTCTCTTCTGTAAAATTGCAGAGGAGTTTTGACAAGTCTTGCTCTTTAAATCCACCGATGAGATCTGTTTTTTTTAAAAAGTCATCCGAGAGGTAACATTAGTAGGGCTCAGATTCATAAAAATTAACATCTATATTGTTTGGTAGTTTCTGCCAACTTCCCTCCCTTCCTGCTTAATGATTAAAATGTAATAATTGTGTAGAAAAGGGAGCTAAGAACTGAGGACCGATGAATGGCTCATGACACATGCTGCAGGAAGTTTGGGAGAGGAACTAGGCTCGACAAGGGAAGACAGATCTTGGAGACTTTGTGGAATGAAGTCTTGAACCTGCTTGAATTACGAAACCATTTGGGTTTCTCCAGTTAGCAGACTGTTCACTTACAGTACAGAAGCTCTATTTTGTCAGGATAGCAAGGAAAAGGTCAAGTAAGGCTCCGTGTTACTTTCTGAAATATAAGCAATTTCAGTGATCCATTAGTGAAACAGTAACTCTAGACAATTGACCTTTAACATGACAAGAGTAATTTTTTCCCCCTGACAGAATGAGGAGAAGGGAGATTTGCAAAGGAATTTCCAGACCCGGCTATCATTGTGTCATGGACTGAAGTACTATTTTAAAATAATCCCAATGTGTCATTTCAGTAAACTATAGCTCATTCTCCTTAAATATAACTATTACAGAAATGATCCTTTGTCCTGATCAAATCAACAATTCATTCAGCCAGTTTTTTTCCTTGCTACCCTGGTTTGTTTCAAGGTTTCAGATCTGTTTCTGGGATATACATAGGGAAATAAGAGAGGGGGGGCAGAATAGAAGCTTTAATGACTAAGAAAAAGGAAACATATGAAAACATTTCATGGAAAGTTTTGGAACCGTTCTGTTTACGGAACTGTACTGATCATTGAAAGATGTGAAGCCATTTCATCATTTTTAAAATCAAGAATCATCTTGTAAACTCATGGAATGGAGGCAGTTTGCTAAGTCAGTATATTATATGAGTTTGGTTGATTCATTGGCTGAAATCCTGTTGCACAGTTCTGCATGTATAACAGGAATGGCAAAGTGTAGGCGATTAAAGGCTTCCTTTGGGGATTTCAAGGTGCACACAACTTTATTACATTATATGTAAGTCATGTGCAGCCTAGAGTCCCCAAAGAAAGCCTTTAATCAGCTGTAATTTGCCACTTTGTGCATATGGAACTGAGCAACAGGATTTCACAATTGCTTCCATTGTGCATATGGAACTGAGCAACAGGATTTCAGCCATGGAGTCCACTCTAGTTGAAGTAATAAATTGGGTTTGTCCCATTACTTATTTCAGCAAGCATAGTTTCCAAAGAGGATCACTGTGATTCTTTCATCTCACCTAATACCATTCTCGGGCACACTTTTGCCACATGGTAGGGTCTAGCCTGTATCAAAGAGTGCTGAGATTCCACATCCTTTGTAGGTGCCATTGCTTGGTGATTCCTGTTTTGTGTTATTCTTGCTTTCACAGGTGGCGTGCATGCAGTTCATCAACATAGTGGTTCATTCTGTAGAAGACATGAATTTCAGAGTTCACCTCCAGTATGAATTTACAAAACTTGGACTGGATGAATATTTGGATGTGAGTATCACTCACCTTGACTCTTCTTTGCTGCTCAGACATAGTGCTGGGGATGATATGTGAGCATATTTCAGTTTTGCCTTTGCATGTAATCATGCAGAGCATGAATGTCCACCTCTGTCGTTAAGACAAGCTGCAAGGAGCATTTTACATTTTTATTATTGTAATACTTTAAACATCTGCCAAAAGTTGCCTGTGCTTTTTGTAACAAAATGGTATTGCAAAAAAACAGGTCAATAAATATATACTGTCAAAAGCTAAAACCATAAACCCTACTTTGGTCTTCTGTAAGGAGAGGGAGAAAGAAAATATATTTCAGTTGTATTCACCAGCCCTGCTCTTTCAGGTGTTGGCCTTGCCCATGCCAGATTACAGATTACCAGTTGCCTCTCAAGTAGCCTTTTCTTCAAAATGTCACTGCTCAGATGGGTGCTTTCGTAACAGACAAGGTTCTCGAGCCACAAAGATCATTCATTGTTGAGGGCTCTTTGTGCGAGAGGTGGCCCCTAGAGGTTCTGCTCCTGAGGTCCAGTCAGTGCTGCCCGGCCTGACCAATGGCGAGGGACTATGGGAATTGAAATCCTAAGCGTCTGGAGCATCAAGGGTCTTCTGTTTATCTTGCATGAAGCCATTCCTTTATTGTCCAAGTCATGTCCTTTTCAGAATGGAAACATTTCTCTTGCAGACACCTGCTAACTGTCTCTCCCCTGCTTCCCGCATACATGTCCCTTGTACTCTTGTTTTTGTTTGGTGGACGATACAAGCCCCAATTGCTAGCCAATCACAGATTTGACACAGGAGCTGAAGAGAGGGAAACATCCCATTCCTCACTTGCATCTTATATGCAACCACCACCTGATTAGTGGACCAGGAGGAATGAATGAAACCATATGCTGTCTGTGCACATGTCTAGTTCGATGACCTTTGTGCTAGTGAAACAGGTCTGCTCTGTCTTCTTCCGCTATAGTGGCCTTGCTGCCGAGACAGCTGGATCCATTTCAAGAGTTCTGGCAGCTAACTCCCTCCTGCTGCCTCCTTCTGCTGATCCTTTTCAGTAAGGCAGAGTGACGCACCACTCAGGCTACAGCTGGGCAGACTTCTGAGGATTTTTATTCTTTCTGTGCCCCACTGGTTCAGTTGCAGGGATCATAATAGATGACTGGTTTCTTGGCAGCAGTTTGCTCACCACAACTGTGGAAAAAGAATGAACAAATTATGGAACAGGAATTAAGTAAAGAGTCAGACATGTAACATCAGAGGCTCACTTCCCAGTGAAACTGGAACAATGCTAACATTTTACTTCAATATGTCATCCCGTCCATGCTTGGTCGCTCTCTTCCATTGGACCATTTCAATAAGGATTATCTGCACTGATTTGACAGAAATGGTCTGGGATTTCACCTGTCCAGCCCTGGCTACTTTACTTAATGAAGGGGGAAGGTTGAACCTGTGACCTTCTTCATGCAAAGCATGTGTTTTGATACTGAGTCTGGTCCCTTCCCAAGAATTTAGTTACTTGATTCTGTTCCTGAAAGGAATGTGGGCTGGATTTTTGCATTACTTACTTGCATATGAAAGACAAAGCCCGGTCTGATAAGGGGGTATGTGGATCGTTCCACAGAACATTTGGTTTTGTAGATCTGTGCAAACCTTCCTAAGGTGGGTTATCCATAAAAATGTGGTTTGTGTGTCCAGTGATAATTAATTCCCACAAGTAGTTCATCTTTGATGGGGAGAGGAATGTCCAGCCATAATACAGAGTGGTTGTACTCACCTTTGACCCCAAGCAGAGAGGCAACTTCCTTTAATCCAGGAGGAAATGACAATGTGAGTAATTGTGTTTTATGAGAACCCCTAATAGTTGTGGGTATAGTCATGGGCTGCTACACTACTACTATTACTACCACCCCCACCCCCACTGCTGCTAAACTAGAAGCATTGTTCTTTTTTCCACAGTAGAACTAAGCATGCTGCATTATATAAACAAGCAACATTATTCTATCTGAGTTGTTCTGTGCATTATTTCATATTAATAGGTTGGATTCATGTCCTTCAACAGACAGCTGTCATTTTTTTAGTAAGCAGCACACTTTTGCTTTAGTTGTTAAGGGAAAAGTAGCTGCTCATTTTTCCGCCCATGTTCCATCTTTCCCACTTTCTTCCTGTCACTGCCAGAGCTTATTACCTCCAGCTGTCAGGAACACCCCACAACAAGCTGAAGCCAGTGTACGTATAGACAAGGCATATAGTTGGAACATCCTTCTCACTTTGTGGTAATGCAGACACTACTTCCCTGTCCTGCCTAAATCCCCAATTTGTCTCCTTTGGTAATCTGTTTACATGTGGATTGAAATGATAATCTTGTTTGTCACTGAAATGTTATGCCCTGCTTTTCCAGCCCCGAAGGGACAGTTATACATCATGGTAAAACATTGTTTATTTTACATAATTAGAAACACACATACATCCTAACTCGGTTCTTAAATTAATTTTTGAGAAGCCAGTAAGTGACGGGAGGCATATGTTGCTACTGAGGCCTGGTGTGGTGCCTTCCGTCCTGATACTCAATAGTGGAATGCAAAGTAGGACCTCCTTCAATGACGGGCACATGTGAATGTGTTCCTATGGAATCAAGAGCTGCTTTTTAGATGCCATGATTCCAGTTGCTAAGTAAATTTTTAAAAAAAATGATTTGGGGGAGGTTGTTTCCCCACTATGTGACAGAGTCAGAAGTACTTTTCACATACCTTGATAAGAATGTTTATATTCCTCTAAATGCCTAGACAGTCCTACAAAAAGGCTGCTGTTTTTTAATAAAGAACACATGCATACAAAAAAAAAATCAGTAAACATTTTTGAATTGTATTCAGCTTTTCCCCTATGTTTAGTTCAGGAGGGGAAATATCACTCTGTTATGGAGATATTGTACGCACAAAGAGTTCTCAGCATTTATTAAGCCGACTTTTAAGTTCAGTTTAAGCTGAGGGAGGAAAACGGATGTGACTTTGATAGAAAACAATTCCACTGAAAGCAATAGAACGTATATTTGAGTAACCAACTGTTCGATGGTTCTTTTCAACAAATGGAAGGGTGGGGGGGAGAAAATACACTGTATGGTACGTATTTCTTATGTGCCCATATAATTGTTTGAAAAAAACCAATTTGAAAATCCCCCCAAATCCAAAATTGGAGCCTCTTCCTGAAACTGAGTGAGGCATATAGGAGAGATAGCCTGTATGGTACCTTATGAGACTGACTCTGAAATTAGCTCTGTAGTGTTGCCTAGGAAAGAACAATAAGGCAAACATTTCACCTCTTGGCTGTTTTAGGTTCCTTTCCAGCAGTTTATATATTCATCTATTTACCCACTGGAGACAGATAAACAAATAGTCAAAGAATACCTTATTAATTTGAACAAGTTCAGATTTCCAGGGCTGGATGAACAGCGTCCAAGAGTATTGAAGGAACTGACTGAAGAACTCTCAGAACTACTGTCTATTATTTTCTTGACATAATGGGAAATGGGTGAGGTGCCAGATGATTGAAGGAGGGCTAATGTTGTCCCTATCTTCCAAAAGGGCAAAAAGGAAGAACCTGGGAACTACAGACCAGTCAGGGTGACATTGATCGCAGGGAAAGTTCTGGAATAGATTATAAAGTGGTCACTATGCAAGCACCTAGAAAACAATGCAGTAATAACTAGGAGTCAAGAACAAATCCAGCCAGACTGCTCTGATCTGATGGGGTAACCTCCTAGTAGACAGAGGGAGTGCTGTAAATGTAATATATCTTGACTTCAGCAAAGCTTTTGACAAAATTCCCCATGATATTCTGATTAGCAAGCTAACTAGATGTGGCTGGATACATGGTTGACTACAGAATTTTACTCAGAGGGTGATGATTAATGGCTCCTTCTCAGATTAGGAGAAGATAACAAGTGGGGTACCCCAAGGCTCAGTCCTGACTGGGCCCAGTGCATCTTCAACATTTTTATTAATGACCTGGATCAGGGGGTGCAGGGAGTGCCAATCAGATTAGCAGATGACACAAAATTGGGTGGAATACCTAATATCCTGGAGGACAGAAACAAAATTCAAAATTATCTAGAAAGGCTTGAGCACTGGGCTAAAAACAGCAGAATGAAATTCAGCAGAGATAAATACAAAGTACTGCACCTAGTAAAAAAACACAGTTACAAAATGGGAGATAGCTCAGTCAGCAATACTAGATGGGTGGGGTATGTATAAATAAATAAATAAATAAATAAATAAATAAATAAATAAATAAATAAATAAATAATACAAACGAGAAGGTTTTCAAACACTTGGGGCCACATTAGGGAACACTTTCAGGGGCCCTTTTGCTATCCATGTTTTTCGGCACTGAAAGGCACAGGATCCTTTATTGATGGTGAATGAATGAATGAATGAATCAATCAATGAATGAATGATCTTAAAACTGCAGAGCTGGAAGGGACCTTATGGATCATCGAGTCCAGCCCCTGTCAAGGAGGCACAGTGGGGAATCAAGCTCCCAACCTCTGGCTCTGCAGCTGGATGCCTACACCACTGAGCGAGAAGGGAGCCATACTCCATAAAATACGAAGACGGTATCTTTTTTGTTTAAGACTCTGCTCAGAATTTAGAAATTCAACCTATTTTCTCTGATCAGAAAATCTGAGAATTTATATGTTCACTGTGGGATGTGAAAAGTAGCTTCCAGTGTCTATTCTTTGATATACAGTTTTATCAGTAATATTTAAATTAAGTGACATGGATGGCAAACCTGACTTCAGTTGTTCAAATTCATTTGACTCTCTCTCTCTCTTTCTCTCTCTCTGGGCTTTTCAGAAGCTGAAACACACGGAAAGTGATAAGCTGCAGGTGCAGATACAAGCTTATCTGGACAATGTGTTTGACGTGGGAGCTTTACTTGAAGATGCTGAGACCAAGAATGCTGCCTTGGAAAGAGTGGAAGAACTGGAAGAAAATATATCTCATGTGAGTATTAATATGAGTGATGTTGAATTTCTAGAGATTTGGGATGTTTGAAGGCTAGATTTATTTTTAATGCTCATTTTAGGGAAATGCTCTGTCGCTTACTAAAGCATGAGAATCAGTCAGTTAAGATATTAGACTATAATTATAAATAGTTCATCTGATTATTATCCAGTGCTGTTGTTAAAGCATTTTCTCATCTGTTTTTATATTGAACTTAACGAAAAGAGGAAATATAACTCTATTCCTTATTATCACATACAGTAGCTAGAAAAGCAGTAGTCTACATGGTGTAATATATGGAAGTATAAACATGATCCTGATCCTGATTTCCTGTTGTGCTGATGTTTATACAGCTAGCAGTAGTCATACAGCTGACTATTGCTGGGCAAGTAGACAATTTAGTTGGATTGAGCAGGGCTCCTCTTGTGTTCCTAGTAAATAGTAAATAGGTTGTTAGGCTTGCTAAAAAGATTTCTTTGAGATTTTCTGCTAACTAATCATCTGATGACTATTAGAATAACTTTTCTTTATATGCATACTATTTCATTTTTATTAATCACATGTCTAGCTTAATTTCAGAGTTGGAGCACACCATTTAAAAACATAATTCAGTACAGGTGATTAGATAGTGTACTTCCAGTTGTAAAACTTTCACAACTATTTATTTTATTTGTTTAAACTTGTACCCTGCCCATTAGTTAACTAATGTTTTTCTCTGTGGTCCAGTTCTAATATTAAAATACAACCAACCATTCTGCATAATGTATAGCCATGGCATAGTCAGAACATTCCATTCTGGGCTGGCCCATAAACAAGCGTGTGATAAGAGTGAAACTACTTATGTTTGTATAGCAATATGCATAGTCTTTTTTATTCACCGATCAGGCATTTCCTTCAAATTGCTCTGGAGTTTATTTCACAGTAGCACAATCCAATCACTTTGGAGAATAACTTCATCTCTATCTCTGTTGGAGAGGAAGCTGCCAGTCTCCATATATATTGCAAATGCTCTGTGTATCTAGAACAAACAAATACTGAACAACAGATCAGAATTTTATACCATTTTTATTCATAGAAAAATCTATGTCGCTTCCAAGATATGCAGTAAGCTTTTGTTGAGCAGAGCCAGACTAAGGAAACACATCTTTGGATTTTAAAAATTGTCAGCAGCAGGGATTGTGGTAGAATGAGATGGATAGGAAGTACTGTAGAAGTTTCTGCTTAAAAAGTAACTTGATCTTCTGGAGATACAAACTTGAGAGTGTTTGGGAAGATCTTGAACGTAGCACTCCTTGATTACAATTGGTGTATAAATCACAGTTGGTGCATAATCTCAGTTTACATGATAACCTTGTGAAATCTTTGGTTCCTGTGCTTACCAGGCGTGATTGTGTCCTGATGCCAGGATTTCAGAAGCCAAGTTTTATCCTAGTTTCTTTGGAACACATTTGCTGTAGTTTCCTAGTTTGGATACTGGTTAACTCATGGACTGCATGAGGGTGTTTTTTTTTAAAATAGCTGTGCCTTTTTGCTTTTGAATGTGTTTTTGGTGTTGGCTTTGTCTATCATTTTTAGTGTAGTATTTGTTTGATTCTTTAAAATATTTATATACTTGTTTTTAGCTGTTTAACTATTTTTTTTACTGATGCAGACCACCTTGGGTCCTTTTTATATAGAAAGACATGGTCTACATAAATAATAAATAAATTTCTCTACTTACATGATAGGAGAAATACAGAGCCTCAGGGTACATGAACTACATGTCAATGGTCTGAACATAGTCATTTAGACTTTATGTATCTCTAGGACAAACAAAAATATCTCATATTTGGGATTGAACGGAGACCTTTTTAAGGAGTTGTGGGTAAAGTTCTTGGACCTTACTTTTGTTAGGCCTTTCCCCGTACATTTGGATGGGATTTTGGTGGAGACGACTTGATCTGGCCTAGGTGCCATTTTTATTCTGTCATGATGTGCTGCTGCAGCCTTTAATCCTGACAGAAATGTGTTTTGGATGTATCTGTATTTTTATTTTTTGCATTAGGAAGTAATTGAAAAAGACATGTTCAGTGAAGCAGGGGCACATGCTTTGCTTTAGAAAAGAATTCTGCTCGTAGAGGCTTTCAGACCACAGTTCCCATGTAGTGAGGGCCACGAGGCAGCAGTGACTGCAGTGCCCAGGGCTGCAGGATCAGACCCAAAGAACGCATGTCACTTTCCTGTCCTGTGTATAGTCTGATAAAATGCTTGGACCCTTTGTTTACATCTTTGCAGTAGACAAGTAAGCCTTGATTCAAAATCTTTGTCAAAACTGAAGACACTGTTTTGAAATCTCAAACCAATTTGACCTCTTTGCTCTTTTTTTTAAAATCTAGTTGTCAGAAAAACTCCAAGACACAGAAAATGAAGCTATGGCAAAGATTGTGGAACTGGAAAAACAGCTCATGCAGAGAAATAAAGAACTGGACGTGGTTCGAGTAAGTTTGACTCTTGGTGCAGATTCTGCTGCTCCGAGTGTTCCCTAGATGGCCAGTCATGTCACTCACATGTATATCAAAGTGTGGAAAGCGGGGCCTGCTAGATATACATTTGCCATCTTTAGTCCAGGGTGGCTAGATGTTACGTGCAGATTACAGAATGAGTTGTGTATTTCCAGAGCATGCATGCATTGCAGTGAAAATGATCAGAAACACTTCCTTTCTGCAAGTAATTCTGCCTTTCTTTTTACAATGGTTCAACATGTCCGTGCACCCATGTTTTTGTGGCATTAAGCTTAATTCAAAGAGTCATGCAGTGTTCTGCAGTGGGGTTTCTGTGGGAATTTGCTTTTGATTGGTGCTTTTTGTGCTGGTTGAAAAGCAGGCTCCCCTTTGATCCATCAACCTTTGATGCAGCAGGAGTAGCTGCAGATGAAACAGGAAATCAGAAAAGTTCAGGTGTGTGTGCGCAGAAGTGTGTGGGTGTGCACATAGATCACTCATATTTTCTATGGCACATTATACCGTAAAGCCAATGCAGAAGAAGTTCCATTTGCTTGGAATGCCCGGTCTCCTGGGCATCTCAAAAGGAAGAGGAGGAGGCAAGTGACAGAAGTAGTTTCTAAAAAAGATAGAAACCTACCAGCAAAAGTCGGGCAGTGTCACCCAAAACTCTTAGAAGAGGCTGTGATAGGCTTAATTGAATTGACTTGCCATATAACTCTGTTTATTTGTGATCAACAGAGTATTCACTCCCCTATTAAGGAAAGAATTTAATGTTCCCAAATCTTAGCATAATGCCCTTTTTTCCAACCAGGCTTGGTATTTGTTATGCAACTTACTAAAGTAAAAGCATGGTTAGCATCATGACAAAGAAAGCGACCAAGGAACTATAAAATAAAACACGTTTCCAGGCCATGGTTGAAGTTGTATTCTTACAGCTGCACTATAAATGGCGGATGAAGCCATCAGCCACAGTGATTTTTTCAGTGATAAAAAAAATTTCCCTCTGAAGATTCCAAGACTCCCAGGAGATCCCCCTTGGGGCAGCCTCTGGGGACTATGGGACAATTTTGGAAAATAGTTGCCACTAATAAAGTTACCTCAGTGGCAATTTTCAGACATTAAAGACACCCTTCCCCCTCCTCACCCCCAACCTTCCAGCCCCCAATAGTTTTCTTCTGGGAGTGGGAATTCCATGGGACTCTTCGGATTTCCTTCAGGGTTAGGAGGAAAACAGAATTATTTTATTTCCTCCCCCCCCCCCAAAAAAAGTCAAAGTGGCTGATGATGTCATTTGCTTTGTGCAGCATAGCTACATAAACAGGATTTCAGCCAGCAATTGAGCTGGAAATCTTGTACTGTGCTTATCGGAGCTGTGAATGCACACCTGTTCTTATGCCTCCCTCTTTTGCAGGAAATTTACAAAGATGCAAATACGCAGGTTCACACGCTGAGAAAGATGGTCAAAGAGAAAGAGGAAGCCATTCAGCGACAGTCCACGCTAGAGAAGAAAATCCATGAACTGGAAAAGCAAGGGTCCATTAAAATTCAGAAGAAAGGCGATGGCGATATCAATATTCTTCCCGTCGGGGTGGCTTCTGGGACATTGCCCTCTGGGTCAGAAGCCATCGCTGGCTCTTGCGGAGGGTCAGTTTCTGGCGCGACGCCTTCCGTTCCATTGCTGCCGCCGCCGCCTCCCCCCTTGCCACTATCAACAGCAGAATCAGAAACAGGTGAGAAATGTTGCCCCATCAAAGACAGAGTAGAGGATGGCCCAATCCAAGGCGAGGGGGGGGGGGTTGTTTGGGTTCTTTTTCCCCACCAGTGAGGTTGTGTTTTCTGCATCTCGGTCCTGAAGCCTTAAAGCAGACCGAAACCTGGCCCATGCTGGCTGAGACCTCCGGGCATGGTATCTCAAAGCACTGGCCCAGAGGATGCTGTTTCTTCTGGTATGACTAAAATGAAGCAGAACATGCAAGTGCATTGTGCCACCAAAGAAAATGTACTGTGCAAGTCCTGGAAACAGCAGGTGCCCACACAGTGACGGGAGGCATCCTCTCCCTCTTAGAGAGCCGACGTGATCTCGATTCCAGATACAGTGAACCAGATCCTTGCAGTGTTTTCAGCCTGCTGCGGCTGCTTCTGCTTCATGCTCTCCTTCTCTTTTAATGACACGTGTGGACTTTTCCCTTTTCCAGAGCAGCAGGAGCTGAAAAGGTTGAGTTCCCCTCTATATGCAATGTAGAGAAAAGCTTCCTCTGTGCTCGTCTGTAGTTCAAAATGATCCCTTATGTTTATCGGGATGCAGTGCGGGCGGGGGGGGGACAGTCACACTTTGGCTGAATGCTTTGAAAA